TTAAAATTTGCTGGTTTACCAAGAACAGGTAGATAGGAATTCTTAAGACCTTATTTTAATGAAAGACTCAAATAATTTGTTGAAATTAGTATTTCTCATCAAACTATTGGTGTTCTTATTCCAACAGTTATTGAATTTATGGTTACAATAGAATCTTATGAATATTTATTTAGAGAAATTAAAGGAATTCTTTAAAAACATAATTTAGAATTACAATTTTATAATAATTTAGAACCATTTATATTAAAGAATGCAATCAAATTTATTCCTGATGATTCTCTAAAAGATATAATGATTTATTTGATCAATTAGAAGAGCAAATTAAATATTTTAAAATAATTAATTATAAATTTAGATATAAAATTATTAGATCCTATAATAATCTAATAATTATGTATAGAAAATAATTTATTTACTCTATTAATTTATATTTCACCTAGAGTTGATGAAGATTATAAAACTCCTTTATTCAAAATGTATGCAGTTTATAGATAACTTATTAAAGGAGATTAAATGTCTTTAGAAAGATATTTCAAATCAATATAAATGGAAATGACAAACAATCAATAAATGATAGATAAAGAAATCTAATTATTAGGTTATAAATGTTTATGGAATCTTCATATGTTATTAATTGGTGAATTATTTCCTTAATAGAAAATACCAGAAACATAATGGGCTTCTATAATAGCAGAAATATTATCTTGGTTATTATAATATGATACATTAGAAGAATTTCTAAAAATTGATTCAGCTATTTTTTTAAATGAATTATTAATAATATTTACAAATCGTGAGAAATATGAATAACTTTAATAACATAAAATTACAATAGCAAATGAATAATTATAAGTAGATGATTTAAGTTTATCTGAAATTGTTATTTTATTATTAGAAGCTTCATCAAAAAAATTAACAATATTAGATTAATTAAGTACATTTGTTTATGAAATCATGAAATTAGGATACACAATTAAATATGAACATTTTTTAAATGTTGTTAAATGTCATTTTAAGGATCCATATACTAATTTATAAACATTAGTTGAAAAAAGTAATCAAAGATTTCAAAATCTAGAATACTTCAAATAACCAGATTTTAATATATAATATAAAAATATTAGAGATTCTGTATTTGTTGATTATATTAATCAATTTAAAGATAAATTAATAAATGATTAAGATGCATTATCTATAATAATTCAAGAAGCTTCTTGTTCTGAAATTTAATCTATAAGAGTTAAATCTTAGATATATTTTATAAAAGATTAATGGTAATTTTGTTTATAAAGTTTATTAACTTCAAATCATGAAGATGACAAAGTAATTATATTAAAATTTATAAAAGATTTTTATATTTGATTATATAGAATAAATGATAAATGTGAGTTAGTATTCTTAAGTAAGAGATGAAATATTAAAATATGTATTAAGTATAGTTCCATAATTGGTAAGAGTAAATTTTAACATTATTTTAGGTAAGTATTTGTGCAGAGAAATTAAGATAAATCCTTTAATATTATAATGAAGAGGATTATAAAGCAGCTATAGAAATGTTAGATACTCATCCAAATTTAAAATTAAAATTACTTTCAGAGATTATTTAAGAAAAAAGAAATAATAAATATTTGGTAGAAGATAAATTAATGATTTCTTTCTTTAAATTAATATGTTAATATCATCCAAAAGATGCATATGAATAATTATAATATGGAGATTTTCCTTAAGATGAATGTTTAAGATTATGTGAAGAATTCTAAATAATGAAAGGAGTGGCATTTTTAAAAGAAAGAAGTGGTCGTTATATGGAAGCATTGAATTTGTATTTTGATGTAATTTTATAAATTTATCATTTTTATAGATTATTAGTATTGAATTAAAAAAGATGTAAGTAATTGAATATGATTAATAAAGTTAGATAGAACAAATCTAAATATTAATTTTACCTTGTTTAAAAATATGTAGAGATAATCATTCTAATGAAGAAGAAAGTACTAGTTATTGGTTTACTCTTGTTATTAGAATGGTTTAATTGAGAGAAGATTTCAAATATAACAAGAATATTTTTAAATCTTTAAATAATGTATATTAAGTAATGTTGGAAGAATTATTAGAAAGAGTTCATCTTTATTAAATAATTATGAATATTAAAATATTATTTGGATCATTTACTCATTTAGAAGAGTTGAGGAGAACATTTAGTAAATTATTGTCATCTTGTTCATTTGAACTTTATAATCAATAATAATTAATTAAAGTATTATAATTGGATTATATGAAAAATCTAATGAGTTTATTTGAATTGTAATAAATTGGAGTCAATTTCAGTCCTTCTTGTTAAACTTGTTTTGAAATTCGAAATTAATATATGTTAGCATTTATGGGATGCAGTCATTTATATCATCATGGTTGTGCACCTAAAATTCATAATATGATAGTTTGTGAATAATGTTTAAATTTAAATACTTATAAATGTAAATATTTTAAATAGAATAGTGAGAATATAATTAGATTCAGTAGTATAAAAAAATGGAAGATAAATGCCAACTATTAAAATGAAAAATCAGGAATAGATAGAGGATGAGGAAATGACAAAAGAAGAGATACGCATGAATAGGATTAATAAATGGAAAAGACATGATATTGAAAATGAAATTAGCGAATTATAATATTACTGAGCTTATATCTTATTAAAAATTATTAAATGTATACATCTTACCAATTCTTTATAAATATTATGTATATATATATATATATTGAGAATTATTAATAGTTTTCTTAATATTAGATAATAGTAAAAAATAATGTATTTTACAAAATTATATACATCATTATTAATTTATTCAACATATAATCATTTAAAGAATAAGAAGATTAATTAATATTATTTCAAATTAATAAATTTAACACTTATTAATATGCTATAGCCACATGTTTATATAAATATTATTTTACTAATTTGATAGAGGATTAAATGAATGAAAATATCTCATTAATTAAATTTATTATAAAATTAATATATTTATTGTTCAAAAATATGGGTTGTGGAAGTTCTGATGTGAGAGACAATACTAATTCTAATGGATAAAAATCTAATAGAGGAAATCAATTTAAAAAAGAGGATGAATCAAAATAAAATGATAATAATCAAGTTGATGGATATTTTAGAGAAGAAAAGATAAAAAAAGAAAAGATGCTCACCTTACCTCGAGAGGATCGCCAATTTAAAGAAGATGGACATAATCTGGATAAAAATAAAGAAAAGAAATAATCTAATAAACCAACTAAAGCTACTTTTTGATAATATTATGTTATTGAATATCTATCAATGGTGACTTTACAAATTCCAAATATTTGGTTCCTCTATTATATCGTATTTATGATATTCATGTTCAGTTATAACACCACTTTGTTTAATAATAACAGATTTTTTTGGTGCCCCTGATAATCCACCTAAACATCTAATAATATTAATTACCTAATTTTTCAATGGCTCTCACATGTTAAAGCCCATAAATAACTTCTCCAAAAGCAACTGACTTTTAATCAAGCCATTCAGCAGGACCTAATGTTATTATGAAACCAGCATCATTGCTATTAATTTTAGGGTTGGAAGTTGTTATTAATCCTGCTCTATCATGTTTGATTCTGTAATTTTCATCAGCAAAGGTTTTTCCATAGATAGATCCTCCTAATGCACCACCCCAAATTCCTCTGAATGGTAAAATCTTTTGAATTTATGAACCCTAATAATGAAGCTTCTTTCCATCTACTTAAACTCCTTGAGCAATTCTCAAAAAGTTTGTTGCTGTCTTTGGAGTAACATTATCAAAGAGCTAAAATATTAATGAATTCTATACCTAAAATACTATTCTACCTAATGGATTACCACTGACCTCAACATCAAAAAATACTCGTGTTAGTGGATTTGGATGAGCGGGTGGAACAGATATGGGAAATATTCGTCCAATTCTAAACATTTATATAATAATAATAAATTAGTTTATCAATCTAATTGATTTACATATATTTTAATCATTTTTTAGTAAAATTATATCTAATCATATCTATTATGTTTATTAGACCATACATTAAGTTCTAAATAATTGTTAATTCAATTTTTGATTAATTTGAGACTCCTGTTTTTTATTTGATTTGCAACATTGTTTTCAAAAATTTTATAGGAATTCTATCTAGTTTCATAAAGGAATCTTTTATAGATAATTTTCTCTTATCTACTTATCATTCTATTTGTATTTATTAGAGATTTTCTTTATTAGGATAAAATAGTTTTTAAACTGTATAAATTTTTGAGTTTAGTTCAAATTGATCCAAAAGAAAATTGGCCTTGTGACTTTATAAATTGTAATTAAATTAACTACAGTTAATAATTTTGTAGTTTGTGTCTTATAATTTTTATTGTTTTCCCAAGCTGCCTTGCCTATCATGTCTATAAACTCTCAAAAATTATAACTTTTCACAATTAGATGTCAATGTTTTTTACCATTTATTATTTATAAATAGTATAAGTATTTAGATTGTCGAACATTAAATGTTAATGCTTTTAACAATCATAAACTTTCCAATAAGTCTATCTTCTATAAATGTTAATTCTTCTAAAAATTAGCGAATTTTACAGTTTGTAAATTACCTTTACGAAATCCTTTTGAGACTTCTACTCCTTTTAATTAATAATGAATATTAAATTAAGATAATTTATAATTTTTTTTAATTAAAAATTTCTTTTTAATTTACTAACTACTTTAAGAAGAGAAATTAAAAAATTTAAAAGGAAAAAATTACATATATTCTTATTATTTATTATAATATTGGTATAGCTTCTAAAACATTGGATAATAATTTTAATTATAAATGCACATTATTTGAACTCTTAAAGTTTTTGAAATTACAAAATTTATTAGTTGCATTCTATAAAGATTTGCCCAATTTAAGAAATTTTGCTATTATTAAAATAGGTTTAATTATATTTATTTTTAATAATGTAATAACAAAAAGTGATTTTTGGAAACAAGTAGAGCGTATACCTTACCTAAGTCTGCTTTTAAGGCACAAAATACAGATTATATTCAACATCTGAGTACAATTATGTAGTAAAGATATATGACAATGGGTAAGAGAAGGTAATAACTTAAATTATGAATTTTAATTTAGTATTTGAATACTGAGTTATAAGCCGTTCACATTTTCAAAGATTATGGAAATATCAACATTGCCAAAGCACTTGAAGGGGATCTACAATAAAATATTAAAGTAATAGTTTTTGAAAAAGCTGAAGTCCTCCAAAATATTTTGAAGGATTCATAGAAAGGTTTAGAGGAACCTCAAGTCCTAAAAGTAAGCAGAAAAATAAGTGTAGATTTTATTGGATTTGAGCAAAGGATTAAAATAATGTCATAGCTTAGGCATCACTCATCGCGATATTAGACCTGAAAATGTGTTGATTGGATTGGATAAATAAGCTAAATTATGGAATTTTTAACGTTGCTTTTTTTAAGTATGAAATAATGTAATAGAGTAATACGATCATTTGCCAAATGAATATATTCCTAAAATTAAAGAAGAAATTGAAGCCAACACTTTCGAGCATGTCAGAGCTCCTGAGCAAAAGGATTTTTCGTAAAGATGGCCTATAACTAAAAAGGTTGACATCTATGCATTAGGATAATTAATGTACTACATTCTATTTAAAGTGCGCTATGATTAAAATCCTAATTGGGAAAAGAAGTATCAATTATGTTATATAAGTCCGAAATGGGGTCTCTATAGTAATAAATTGTAAGAATTAATAAGGCTTCTATTAATTCCCAACCCAAAAGACAGATTAAGTGCTGAATAAATTGAAGAATATATTCAAACTTATCTTATAAACTAGAAGTACACAAAATTTAATATGTAGTCCTGTGTCTTCTCAAATTCATATTAGAAGCTTATCAACAAATGAAAAAATGAATAGAGAAATACTTACATAAAGAAATGAAAATTATAAAAGCAATTAATTAGAGATGATTGATTTTCAACATCCATCTTCGTCATCTTTATCTACAAAATTTGTCAAAT